CAGGTGTGGTTGTCCACAAAACACCTTTGGGTCAACTGCCCAATAAAGAAGCTGGACCATCAATTCATCGGCCCCTTTCCCATCGAGGCGGTCATCAACCCCGTAGCCTATTGACAGACTCTACCGAGCTCCATGCAAATTCATCCTGTCTTCCACTGTTCCCTTTTGGTCCCTGACACCCCTTCATGTGATCTCTGACATCCCGCAGTTGATGATCCATCACCTGTACTCAATGACGATGATGCAGTAGACGGCACTGTGGTCAGCATTAGGGATTCCTGCTGGTTGAAAGGACAGTTCCAGTATTTGATCGAGAGGCAGGGGGGTGGACCAGAGGCCCTTTCCTGGGTGGATGCTTCCATGATCCATGCCTAGGACCTTATACGGAGGTTTCATGACCAGTTCCCCTTGAGACCACATCCTGACCGTCAGACTCAGGGGAAGGGCCCTGCGGTGAGGGATAGTGTTGTGGCTCTGATTCCCGAGCCTGTGCTGTTAGAGGAAGAGGACTCAGAAGATGAGGAGGAAGAATTGGGAATGCTTTCCTCCCCAGGACCTTCCTCTCTGGCAATGCCTTCCTCCCTGATAATACCTCAGGTTTCAGCAGACAACCAAGAGGAACAGCCTGAGATTAATCAGGAGGAGGAGGGCATATCGGAGCAGCCCCTGACAGGGAGTCAAGTGGACGAATGTTGCCTTGATCCTAGGCAGCGTCGTAGGAAGAAATGTGAGCTGTAACGTAGGAGGTGTGGGCAAGTCAGAGAGTGAGCTGAGTCATTGAGACACACCCCACAGGGGATAAAAGTGGGTGTGTTTTCTCTGGAAACTTTGTATGGGACAAAGTTTTATTTCTCTTCCAGGTTTTGGTGTGATTGTTTCTTCTTTTTTTAAAAAAAACACAAATTTTATTAATTTTCAAAGACAATACACAAACAAACAAAACATAAAACATAAAAACATAAAACATATTTTCTAAAAGATTCTTGATCCCAGGTTACATCTCTTCATACAGACACAAATTCAAATTCATGTTCATTTTATATACCATTCCATATCTTATTACCATTTTCCATTTTCTATATAGCTTCTCACCTCTTTTAACTTTCTTAGTTTTATTTTATTTATCTCCTCTCAGTTCAAATCATTATCCTTATTATTCTTTGTTCTGTTTCCAGCTATCTTTTCTCTTTAAACAAAATTTATCCTGTACCCTAATTGGAGTGTGACGCCTTTAACTCTTTCCCCTAAATTTATAACACTTAATATAGTACATAACTTCCATTGGGATTCTGTTTAGTACATTCTAAAGTTACACATTATATTTTAAAAAAGAGAAAAATTTATAAGTATGTAATATAATAAAAACAACTATCCATGCCAATTCAAATCTATCATTAATATTAATATTCATTTAAATCTTAAATATTTTACACATTACTTTTCAATTGAATATCATACTTTTATGGGAACACTTATACTTTCCATAGTTATTTCCCCCCCACTTCACATCACTTATATTTTAAATCATTGTATCATTAAAATGTTCCCATTTCCTCCTACTTCAATTCTCTCATTTATTTCATTGCCTTCCTTTTATTCACAAAAATTTCACTAAGTTACAATGAATATTTTATCCCATTTTTTGATCACATGTTGTTTCCAATTTTCTAACATTATTTCTAAGTACAAATATAACAATACAATCTTATGTACCTTTGCAGAATCCCCTTTTCAATTAAATTTTACCCATTATCTCTAAATGAAGCTTGTTTCTTTACATCTTGCTCCACACCACTGAGGCTTCTCATCCCTTCCTTCCTCCCTTGCTTCTTCTCCCTGCCCTTTTTACCCCCTTGTCTCTCCACCTCACTTTTCTTCTTCTGCATTCCCCCTTTCTGTTGTTTTCTAACATTATATCCACTTTTCACCTTATTTTTCTCTTTTTTGGTTGTTTTTTTAGATCTTAAAGTCCCCTTTTTCTTTTCCTCCTTCTCCCTTTCTTCCCCAAATACAGTTACTTGTTCATCAAAGATGGCTTCTTCTTTATCCCAATCATCTTGTTGCACAGTCAGTTTCTCATAGGTGCAAATCACCATTTCTAAGAATTGAAAAAGAGTGCCAAGAGAGTCTTTCCCTTCTTGTTCATCTTCTTTGTATTTTTTTGAATTCAATTTTCAATTCATCCACAAGTGATGCCATTGTAGAAAGAATTTTTTTTCCAAAACAACCACCCAAGTGTTTTTAGTCCTTCAAAGATAATTTCCAAAAGTCCCAAAGTCACCAAACAGTCCAAATAAGCTGTTTCTTTTAGCACTTTCTTCTTTCTTCACTTTCTCTTTCTGGGGTTACTGTTTAGTTGCAAAGTTCCAGTTAAAATGTATCTTTTAGAAGTCTTGTTAGTATTTAATGATTCTTTAAAAATTATAGGCAATCTCCTCCTTACTTCCAAATCCTGCTCCAATTCTTTTCCTCTCCCTTCCCACTTACAGCAAAAAAATTTTTTTTAAATATTCAGAAATCCTTATTATCCCTTTAGCGTTTAATTATCCAGTTTACCTATTGATGCCAAAGCGGGTTTTTCCGATTTCTCATGTATTTCTGTTCGCTGTCACTGTTAGGAAGGAGAGTGAAAAAAAAATAACTTTCCCTTTTAACTTCCATTCACTGCTTGTAAATCTCTGGGAACGATGTATCTTGCACAAATTTTAAGTTCCAGGATACCTTCATTGTTGCTTTATCCCGGTCAGCAAAAAAACTTTCACTTCTTCTTAACTCCTCCTGCACTTTCTTTTCTGGCTGAGCACTTCTTTGTGGTGGCCATTTCTGACCGCCGCTCTACCACCTTCAGAAAAGGGCGTTTAGCTGGCTAGGGAAGAGAGGTGTGATTTCTCTCGACCCTGCCAGATCCCCCCTATCTTCACCACCTTCTACGGAGGTGGCTAGCCCTGAAGCCAGATGGCTCAGGGCACTCCAGCGGCGAGTGCAGGCAGAAACCACACACGATCGCGGATTTCTGCCTGCCCCGAAGTGTACAAACCACTATCTACACACACTCTCACACCACCATCCAGCACAGATCAATTCCGTAGCTGAGACACTCATCTCCAGGACAAAATGCTTAGCCGACGAACAACACCTAGAGACCGAACTACACACTCTCACCAGTGTGCTGACAGCCAATGGATTCCAAAGAAAGAAGATTACCCACCTAATCCAAAAAGAAACCCCAACCACCATCCAAGACAGAGAACAAGACAATGGCAAAGTCCTCCTCCCACATATAAAAGGCACTACAGACAAAATCAGCAAGATCCTCCAAAAACACAACATTAAGACAGCATTCTGCACAAACAGAAAGATATCCACCATCCTAAGAAACCCTAAGGACAAAATCGAGTTAGAAAACCAAGGAGTATACGAAATCCCTTGCACTGCCTGCCCCACCACATACATTGGACAAACTAACAGAAGAATAAGTGCACACATTGAAGAACATAAGAACTCAATCAAAAAAGAAGAAACGACCTCTTCCCTGGTCCAACACCTCAAAGCCACAGGACATGAGATTGACTTTAAAAATACCAGAACTATCGCCAAAACTGAACACTCCAGCAGCAGAATAATCAGAGAAGCCATAGATATAGAAAAACGCCCACACAGCATGAATAAACGAGATGACACCTCCCGCCTACCAGCCATTTGGAAACCCACCCTCATGAACAGACAAGTACCTAACATGAAGAATGACACCAGACCCACACCCATGGGGTGCCACACAAGATGCCACCACCACACTTCCATGTAGAAAACAGACTCACACCCACAGAGAAGATGAGACACGACCACGGACCAGAAGCCGCATTGCAGCTGCATCACTACCCACTTCAAACCCCTCCGAGCCATACATGAAGCAAACCGACACCCACCATGAAGATGCGGCACGACCACGAATTCGAAGCCAAACAGCAGGATCACATCTCACCAGCTCAAATCCCCCAGCAACTAAGACTAACCTGAGCACAACTAAGCCCCCACCTGAACAGAACACACCTCCAGCCAATCAGAACACGGCCAACCTCCCACCCAATCAGAACACAGCCAAGCCCCCACCCAATCAAGTCACACCCCCACTAGCAGTTAAAAGGAAGAAGCAGCTGCAAGCTCACATCACTCTGAGAAGCACAAAGCCGAAGACACAAGCCTGAAGATGATGAATGAGACTTCATCGAAACGTTGCCTAGATACTTCCAATCTTATGCGGGAGAAAACCCGAATAACCAAAGATCCATATGTGTGTGTGTGTGTGTGTGTGTGTGTGTGTGCATGTGTGTGTGTGTGTGTGTGTGTGTGTGTTCTTAAGTTTTCGCGGGTACTTACATGTATGGCATTCAGCTTTGTTCGGGTATTTTCCCACGTCATTGTAGTTGTGCTTTTAAAGTTGTAGCAATGTTTCAACAGAATCTCATCTGCCATCATCAGGCTTCTGTACATACATGCATGCATACATACATACATACATACATACATACATGCATACATTCATTCCAAAAATACCTACAGACCAAAAAATCTACAGAAGTAAATATATATATATATATATTATATATATAATCACTGTGAAATGTATTTAATAACACATATTTCTCAATTTTCATACAAACAATTTAATGGTTTTATGGAAAGGGGAATAGATTGAGCCAGAAATGCAAGTTATATGGTTTACTTAGCCAAACAAAAGAGCTCATCCAACATTTTCCTGATAAATTCAATATCTAAATTTAAAATGAAAGTGTAAATTTGCATTGCATATGAAACATCAGAATGGAAGAGAATCAGAGAAGGAATATGTAGTTGAATCCATTTGATGGGTTTCGCATTTCTTATTGGCTTCTAATGGGGTCAAAGATAAATCTTGAACTTGTGATCACCAACACTTTCTTCTTTTGCCATTTTTCTGAAAATAAATTAATTTTCTGAACATTTTACCACTCTCTCCTCAGCCTTTGCCTCCTTCCAAATGTGTGGAAAGTTGTTGTCCTGGATTCATGAAGGTAGTTCAAGAAGGGAATCACATCTGCTGCTATGACTGTCATCCTTGTGCAGAAGGAACCATCTCCACCATAGAAGGTGAGTGACTACAATGAAAAGGTGGGGACCAGAGGTGGTATTCACCAGGTTCTGACCAGTTCTGAAGAACTGGTAGCAGAAATTTTGGGTAGTTCGGAGAACCAGCAAATACCACCTCTGACTGGCCCTGCCCCCATCTATTCTCTGCCTCCCAAGTCCCTGCTGATTGGCTGGGTCTTTTGTTGCCCTGCACAGGAGAACAGAGCTGGAAAGCAGGTTAGTGGGTTGGGGATTTTGCAGTAACCTTCCCCCAGGAGTGGGATCGCACTGGATATTTTACAGTATCCTTCTCCTGCCATGCCCACCAAGTGACACCCACAGAACCGGTAGGTTAAAAAAATTGAATCCCATCACTTGTGCAGACATTTGGGAGTACGTAGATCCTAACATTTATCATGAAATTATGATGTAATATGTATTTTAAACCTTGGCTTTAAAAAGATACTTTCTTTTAATATGTATAATTATTTTATAAAGAGTGAGAAGAAATGATATGGGAATTTAAATCATGAGCAGAATATTAAGAAAAAGGGAAACAATGGAGGCTTGACATTAAAAGGAAGATAGAATGTCTTGAACTTCTCTTATTTAGTGGTGATACTGCCATGTTTTCTTGGAGTCTCTCTTCGGAAATTGAGAACTCCTTATTCTCCTCTTCCCTTCCTCCACTAATGCAAGTATAAAAGGCTGAGCTTAACAAGTTGAGAAACAGGACCAGTACTCACTCCTTCCTTCCTTCCTTCCTTCCTTCCTTCCTTCCTTCCTTCCTTCCTTCCTTCCTTCCTTCCTTCCTTCCTTCCTTCCTTCCTTCCTCAACATCCTTAACGGGAAATGAAGGAGTCTCTCTTTTTTTTTAAGTGGGTAAAACTGACAAGTTTCCCCTTCTACATGGAGTTACAGGAAGGACAGTAAAACTGAACTTTTGTTTTTCATCCATCCATCACTGGTGTTTGATTACCTGGTATGGATGTAAAGAAAAATAAATGGTGGAATCCAGCAGCCCAGAGAACTGCTGTCAAGGAAGAAGATATGGCTATCTCCTTGGCCCAAGCTGTCATGCTCCAAAAACTAAGACATACACAGAGAGTTACTTCTAAGTTCTTGCATCATTAAAGGTATACCCTGAGAACATCTAGAGAGTAGCTATCTTGAATCTCTTTCTCCCAACCAAAGTACCTAAAGTTCACTCTTTCTTGGTCCTGTTGAATGCAGCTTCTCCCTCCTGGGAAACCAGATTACATTCCACCACAAATTGGAGGAAAGCATTACATTTGTAAAGGAGAACTAAGTAATATACCTTCACTAACAGGCAGTTTTCATATGAAGGTCAGGAGAAATATCTTCACTTTCATTCGTGGGAAATATCTTCCTTCTTAAAGGAATAAGAGATGATGGTGTCCACTGAAGCTTTGAGTCCAACTGTCAGTTAGAACAATTAATCAGTTGAATAACTTGCCTCCAGAAGTTGTGAATGCTCTAACACTGGGAGTTTTTTAAAAAGATGTTGGATAACCCTTTGTCTGAAATGGTGTAGGATTTCCTGCCTAAGCAGGGGGTTGGACTAGAAGACCTCCAAGGTCCCTTCCAACACTGTTACTGTAATCTATTCTTGTCAGGTTCCCATTAACGTACCCATCACAAACCAAACTCCGAGGCAATCCATTTCCTCAAAGAACAAATTTATTGAGATACATCATCTTGGCACAAACTAGTGGAAAGCCAGTATTAAAGGTTCCCATGCTTTCCACCCCACTTAAAGTAAAAGTTTCTCATTTTTCCAAAACAATATGTCACATTGTTCAATCGGGATAAGGGCTGGTTGCTTGGTGACTTCTCTCCCCTTCCTCTGGCCAGCCAGCCATTGGAATGGCATGATAGCAGTCTTCCAATATCTGAGGTGCTGCCACAGAGAGGAGGAAGGGAGTCAAGCTATTTTTAATCCCCCACCAGAGAGGAACCAGCCATTGCCCGGTCAGATTCAGGCTTGACACAAACCTCCTTCTACTGTCTGTGCGTGACCTAGTCCTGCACAGGGGTATCAATGATCATCTCTGTGGATCATTGGTGGGAGGGCTGTGGAATGCTTTGAAGTTCTTCTCCAGAAAGTGATTCACTGAGTCTGAGATGCAAACAATGCAACCTCTAAAAGCAGACACAGCTCTTCCTGCAAAGGACTGCAGAGATCCTCATTGGTCTTTGGCTCTTACCCTTCTACATTATGTCACATTATTTTCCTAATCATTGCTGTGTGCTATCTTTCTCCATACAGATTCATTTATACTATCACCTGTTTTCATTCCAAATGGAGATCTCAACTTACAACCATTTGTGTAGTACCCATTCAAAGTTACAGTGGCACTCACAACACCATAAACCCGTGAAGTTGTGACTAATTCAGCATCCTGATCATCATGTGAAAAGTAACTGGCATGTATTTAGAATGGCTGCAACATCCTAGTGATTCTTATTTGTGTCCTCCCCACTTGGCTTCCAACAAGGAAGTCAATAAGGAAAATCCCATTAGCCTAAAACCGTGATGGTGAACCTACAGCATGCGTGCTGGAAGTGGCACACAGAGCCACTTCTGCTGCACAAGAGAGGTTGCCCAGAAGAGCCTCACGGTGCATGTGCATGTGCCTCCCCACTAGAGAGCTGACTGTTGGATATCTGCTGCACATGAGCAAAGGAGGAGCACACACATGCTTGGAGGCATGCGGCATGCAGGGGGGCTGCGTGTGCATGCGCAGAGGTGTACGGTGCAGGGGGGTCATATATGCATGTGCAGAGGCACATGGTGCGTGCACAGGGGATTGCGCACGCATGTGGAGGGGGAGGGGCAGGGGTGGGATTCTACCAGTTTGCACCTATTTGCAAGAACCGGTTGTTAACATTCTAAGCAGTTCAGAGAACTGGTTCAGAGAGCAGTTCAGAGAAGAAATTACCGGCCTTATCCTGTAAGGAAGGCAGGAAGGAAACATTCTGGGGTTGCTTAGAGAAAGTGCCTCTCCGTTAACCTTTATTACATTCTTGGCAGGACTAGACTTCCTGTCTCAGGAACCTCTCTGGAGTTATTTTCCCTCCTTTGCTGGTACTTTGCTTGTGTGGAGTGACCATTCAAAGTTACAATGGCACTGAAAAAAGTGACTTATGACCGTTTTTCACACTTACAACTATTGCAGCATCCCCACAATCATGAGAGGCCAGGCGAGGAGATGCATGCCTCAATGTGAGTGATATTGAGTTGGCCACATCCAGCCAATAACATGACTACTAAGCCACACCCAGCACATAAGCCACACCAACAGAACCAGTTGTTAAAAATTTGAATCCCATCCCTGGGTGGGGGAGTCATGCATGGATTGCATCATGGGTGCAGGCACCCAAGCGTGCACACTCATGCATTTTTGGCGTGCAATGTGGAAAAGCTTAGCCATCACTGGCCCAAAGGGCACAAGAGTCACTTAACAACTGTGGCTTGGTTGATATCTGTGGCAAAATGTGTACTATAATGAGGTGTGATTCACTAACTGCCCTGCTTAATTCTAGTCCCGACTGTGATCTAAGTTGAGGAGTCCCTGTATGCCTTTGAAGGAAGAACATGTTTGACAGTAGATGTTAATCTCACTCTTTTCAGATGCTGAAAAATGTACCAAATGTCCAGCAGAACAATATCCAAACACCAATCAAGTTGACTGTATTCCTAAGACTGAAACTTTCCTATCTTATCAAGAAAATCTGGGGATCATCCTTGCTTCCCTTGCCTTGTTCCTGTCTTTGGTAACAGGTTTTGTCTTGGGAATTTTCATTAAATTCCAAGAAACTCCCATAGTCAAAGCCAACAATCGAGATCTCTCCTACATCCTTCTCATCTCCCTCTTGCTCTCCTTCTTGTCCTCATTCCTGTTCATTGGCCAACCAAGGAGAGCTACTTGCCTTCTTCGACAAACTGCCTTCAGCAACATCTTCTCAGTTGCCATTTCTACCATCTTGGCCAAAACAGTCATGGTGGTGCTAGCCTTCTTGGCCACAAAACCAGGGAATAAAGTGCAGAGATGGCTAGGGAAGAGCCTGGCTAATTCTATCATATTTTCGTGTTCTGGTGTCCAAATTATCCTCTGCAGCATCTGGTTGGGCACTTCTCCCCCATTCTTTGAGTCAGACATGGACTTGGAACCTGCAGAGATTGTCCTGCAATGTAATGAAGGCTCTGTTGCCATGTTCTATGGTGCCCTTGGCTACATGGCCTTCCTTGCTCTGGTTTGCTTCACAGTGGCTTTCCTAGCCAGAAATCTACCTGGGGCCTTCAATGAAGCCAAACTCATCACCTTCAGCATGCTGGTCTTCTGCAATGTCTGGGTAACCTTTGTACCCACCTACCTGAGCACCAAAGGGAAATATATGGTGGTTGTGCAGGTTTTCTCCATCTTGGCCTCGAGTGCTGGACTTCTGGGCTGCATCTTCATACCCAAGTGTTATATTATTTTTTTAAGACCAGACCTGAATACAAAACAATATTTGTTTTCAAAATAACATATACATTTATTTGGCACATCTTTCCCAAAAATGCCAGTTAATTTCTTCCAAAATATTATTGGATAGTGCAATGTTTCTTTAAAAACCACAAATGTACCCAAACACAAACTTGTTTTTTTTTCTTTTATTTTGCATCACAATAGAAATTTTAACCACTTTTAATAAATACATGTCCCCCTGATACTTACAATTTATGTATGCACTTAAACTGACTCAATCTCTCTCTCTCTCTCATTCTCTCTCTCTCTCTCATTCATTCTCTCTCTCTTTCATTCTCTCTCTCATTTTTTCTCTCTCTCTCTCTTTTCTCTCTCTCTCTCATATGTGTGCCATCCATTTGATTTAGAGATTGGACAACCACTTGTATAGAATGATATAGGACAGAGTGTCAAACTAATGGCCCACGGACTAGATACATCACATGCTGGCCATGCCCACACCATTTAGTGAGGGGAGAAAAGTCATGATACATCATGTGACAACAACATGATGTCACAAGTTTGACACCCCTGATATAGGATGTCCTGCTTGAGTAGGGGGTTGGCCTCAGTGATGTGTTTCAAATATTTTTACCACCAGTTCAGTGAGCGTGGCTTGGTGGGCATGCTTTGCACATGTGCACACACTTTGTACATGCATGCATGCCAAATGCACACTTTGCACAGGTGCAGAGGCATTTTGACTCACCTCCTGCAATCCTGCACTCTCCCTGATGCTTCAGCAGCTGCCAGGCAGCAATTGCTGTGCTGCGCAAAGCAGCTGCACTTCAAAAGCAGGACATAAAGATTAGAATGGGAGCCCGGGTGGGTGGGTGGGCCCAACACAAACCAGTCTGAACCAGCTGGATCCCACCCATTACTATACTGGCTCTACATCCACTTCCTACACTGATGGCTTATGGTTTCACACATTGTTTCTCTGCCCATTGGTTTCTTCAGTGGAGAAATTTTCAAATTCCAAGATTCAGAAAGCCCTTAGTCTGGGCTGGCTTCATAAAAGGCAGGAATATGGCTGCTCTAAACTTTCTCCCTTATTGGATAACCAGATGCTTTATTTTTAATGCTGCAGGATCCAACCTGGGTCAGTCACTGGGATCAGAGGTTTAGTCTTCTGAGTGTCAGCTTTGGAAATCATATTAGCACCAGACGCTTCCACACTGCCACATTCTTGAGCCTGGGAAAATGAGAGGGGGGAATTTCTTGGAGCGTATGTGGTTGGACATAATAGCATTCTTCTTCTAAGTCAAGGTCATGTTATTTCTGCACCTGGTTGAGAGGACATCTCAAGTTGGGATGGATGGTGATTGGGGCATGTGATGCAATGACGGGTGCATGGATTCGTAGTTTTTTATTTATTGCAAGGAAACCCGGAACTTTCAGATTCAGGATCTCCAGATGTGCCAGTTTACTACTCTAATAAAAAGAACTTTGGAAAGGATCTCTGCCTCTGAGTTATTTGTTGGAGTGGAGGTTTTCTGGAATGCTGACACCAAGCTTTCAGACTCATGCTGGAGCCCGTCCTCAGGGACCTGTATTCTGGGCTGCTCTATGTGTGGTATTTATATGGTATCTACTGTGTATGACTTTTTAGTTGTTGATAGGGGTGTTGATGGCTGGCTATTAAGTCATTGGCTTTGTTTCCTTGTGCTGTCAAGCCCTCACCATCTAAATACTTGATAAGCTAGTGATATATCAAGCATTCCTATTGCCTGATCAGGAGCTCGATTCCCCAGTTTCAATCACTTCCCTAGCTGTTTGCTCTTGTGCTGTATGGTTGCAGCTGAAGTATTCATTGACAGGTAGGACATTGCAATATATAATTTTATGTACTATACTTAGATCGGACCGAAGGTGGCATAGTTCTAGATTTTCTAGGTCTAGTATTTCAAGTCTGGTGGCATAAAGTATTCTGCAATGGGTAGAGGAGTGGAGAACACTTCTTGTGAAATATTTCTGGACTTTCTCAACTGTGTTAATATCAGATACGTAATGTGGGTGCCAGACTGATGAGTTGCATTCGAGTATTAGTCTAGCAAATGTTTTGTATGTTCTAGTTAGTAGTGTAATATTACCAGAGAAAAACCTACATAAGATTAGGTTAACAACTCTTAATGCCTTTTTGGCTATGTAGTTACAGTGGGCTCTAGCACTTAGATCATTAGAGATGAGGACTCCAAGACCCTTGACAGAGTTTGGATCAACAAGGTCTTGACTATTCAGCCTGTATTTTATTTTCTGATTTTTTGTCAATATGTAAGACAGAGCATTTATTTGTTGAGATTTGAAGTTGCCATTTGTTTGACCATTCTGATACATAGTCGAGATCTTTTTGAAGGGTAGCAGTATTGTCTGTGGTGTTAACTATCTTTACATCATCACTGAAGAGAACGCAGTTGCTCTTAATACGATCACAGAGGTCATTTATGTAGAGTATGAAAAGAGTTGGTCCTAGAACACTGCCTTGGGGGACACCACTATTGACAGGTACAGAATTTGATAGGACACTCCCAATGTTGACCATTTGTTTTCTGTTTGACAGGAATATTTCTATCCAGTTATGCAGATGTCCCGAGATACCATAAGATTTTAGTTTTAGGAGTAGTTTGTCGTGTACCACTGAATCAGAAGTCTATGTAGATTGCATCTATTGCTTTTGCCCTGATCAAGTTGTGTAGTCCATATGTTTTTGTAGTGTAATAGTTGCAGATTGCAGGATAGTTTTTTTTTTTTTTTTGAAACCAAATTGTTTATTGGAGAGTAGGTTGTTTGTCTCTAAGTGGAGGATAATGGATTGGTTAATAATTGATTCCATGACTTTACAGATGACCCAGCATAAAGAGATTGGTCTGTAATTTTCAACTAGGCTGGGGTCTCCCTTTTTGAAGATGGGGATGACCGTGGCTTGTGACCATAGTTGGAGCTGGTCCTGAAAGATTTTTCAAAGATTATGCTTATAGGACTAAAATTCACTGTCTCCTAGTTTCTAGCCTGATGCCTTAATTACCCCCACAAAACTGGCTCTCTTCCTTAAACTTTACTTTTCCAGTTTAACATTTTTCATTGAGTTATAAAATATTATAAAATATAATACAAAAATAAATAGAAAAGCAGTGGGAAGGAAAAAGGGGGAAGTGAAGTGAGGAAAGATAAGAAAAAAGAAAGAAAAAGAAGCATGGATTTCCGACTCTGTTGCAGAAAATAAGGCATAAACACCAAATCACAACTTTTTGCTTTTTCATAAGAATGTGAACAAGCCATTTCTGTAAGGATCAATCAATCAACTTGGTGAACCCTAAAATCAAAGTTTCATTCTTTAACTTAGCTATAATTTTGGAGTGTGAGTGAAACTGAAGGATTCTTTTTTTTTAATAAGTTTTATTAATTTTCAATAAACAAACATACACAAACAAAACACAACACATAAAAACATAAAACTTCTTTTTGGAAAGTGGCCTAGTCCCGGGTTATATCTTTTGGTACAGACATAAATCAAATTCATGCTCACTTTATATACCATTTCATATCTTATTTACCATTCTATATTTTCTATATGGCTTCTCCCCTCTTTTCACTCTCTTAATTCTATTTTATTTATTTCATCTCAATTTAAATCATTGTACTGATATCTTTTGTCTGTTCTGTAATCATCTATTTTTCTTTTCTTATTAACACAATATTTCTCCTGTAATCACTAATTGAAGTATGACGCCTTTATATCTTTCCCCTAAATTTAACACTTTAAATAATATATAATTCTCATTCTGATTCTGCTTAGCACATTCTAAAACTGCCTACTACATTTTAAGATAGAAAAATAATAAATTTATAATATAATTAAAACAATAATCCATAGTATATTAAACTTTATCATTTATGCATTTTAGTATTTTGTTAAATCATATAAAAATCCGATTTTTTAACATTGTTTCAAATAAAGATACAAAAGTACAATCTTATGTACTTTTGCAGAATCTCTTTTGTAATCCTAGTCTTTTTACCCCTACCCCCACTCCCCATCTCTTAATCTCCACCTTCTTGGTCTCCACTCTCTTCTGTAAGCACAAACTATTTCATTTAGCCTTTTCTTCTTTTTAAACTTTCTCTTCCTGGGGTCTATCTTTCCCCTAGATTTAACACTTAAGATAATATATTTATTTCCATTCTGATTCTGCTTAGTACATTCTACATACATTTTAAAATAAGAAAATAATACATTTATAATATAGTTGAAACAATAATCCAAAGCAAATTAAACTCTATCATTAAATCTTCAACATTTTACATATTCACTTTAATATTTTATTAAATCATATAATGTTCCAATTTTCTAACTCTATTTCAAATACAATACTACAATACAATCTTGTGTGCTTTTGCAGAATCTCTTTCTAATTGTATTTTACCCTTTATCTCTGAAAAAGATCTGTTTTTTTACATCTTGTTTCAAGCCTTTGTGACTTCTCTTCCCTTTTTCCTTTCCTTTCTTGTCCAATCTAGCCTTTTTACCCCACCCCCATCTCTTAGTCTCCACCCTCTTAATCTCCCCTCTCTGTTGTATTCCTCTTTTCTGTTACTTTCTGACATTGTATTGATTTTTCACCTTATTTTCCCTTTTTTTGGTTGTTTTTTTAAGTCTTGAATTCTCCATTCTCTTTCCCTTCTTTCCCTTTTCTTCCTCAACTAAAGTTATTTGTTCATCATCCCAGCTTTCTTGTTGTTGTAATTCCTGGTAGGTAGAAATTGCCATTTCCAAAAAGTGAAAGACAGATCCAGAAGAGCCCTTCCCTTCTTGTTCCTCTTCTCTTAACTTTTGAAATTCCATTTTCAATTCTTCCATTTTGAAATTTTTTAAACAACGCAAAAGTTATTAGTCTTTCAAAAAATAGTTTCCAAAAGTCCCAAAGTCACCAAGCAACCCTAATCAACACAAACTGTTTCATTTAGCACTTTCCTCTTTTTGTACTTTCTCTTCTTGGGGAAGAATCAATTGCAAAGTTCCAAAATGTATTTTTTGAAGTCTTATTACAGTTTGTCTCTGGTCTTATAAGCTCCAAGCAATCTCCTCCAGCAAAGTCTTAATAT